TTGAAATTCGTGCACGGGGTAGAGCATGAAGTGGTGGTCATCCAATTTTTCCAAAAAACTGGTTACCGTGTGAATTTCCATTAAATGTTGCTTCTGCTTTTCATCAAAGCGCGCATGATCTGGACGATGTAAACCAAAATCCTTCCAGGGCGGCAGCTGGCATTTCTGGATTCTGAGCCGCTTCTGCAGGCAGCACAGGTTCTTCTTGAAACTCGGTCCATGGTTATTCTTCTTCGTTGGGCGCCGCTATCAGGTTCAATGTTCCGTCTTAACCTTCTTCGGGAACATGCAAGGACCTGACTCGGAACAGAGAGCTTACTAAAGCTATGTTCACTAAACTGTGGAAGTAGTAGACAGGATACACAAGAAGGGTATACAAAACCCTTTATTTTTCTCTATTTACAATGACTTCCGTACTTCGGAATACAATGACCCACTTCTTGTATTCCTTGGTACTTCTAAAACGTAAAATATAAAATAAAACTAAACTCTAATTTAACTTTAAAATAATAAACGTGGAAGATTGGCCTTATATAAAACAGGAAGCCGTATGTAGTACAGAGAACTGTGAACACTACAATACGTTTTAAAAATTATCAAGAGGATTAAAACCTCTGGCCTGGAAGGCAACCAGCAACTGAGTAAAACTTCTAAGGTAAGCGGCCTGCTTCGAACTCACTGCTTCCTCTCTCTCGCTTGGCAAAAAGCCACAACTTAAATACTTGGCGTTCGCCAGACAAACTTTGCATAAATACCTTAACGCTTATAATTCTGGCCGGAAGTAGAAAATAAGAAGTGATAGTAAAGATTTAAAATAAAATAAACGTTAGTAAAACTTAAGATCCTTACATACTTCCCGCCAGAGTTAATTAGTTTGAAACTGAGGTCTAAAACGACCTTGTTGAAAACTTTTAGCTCTAGAATCTAACGCGAGGCCAATCTTTTACAAACATTTTTCGCTAGAAACTAGAAATTTAAAAGAAAGAAATTTGTTTTTACAATAGCAGCTCCCAGGACACACAATTTTTTTCATCTGTACTGCATCTAAACAGGAGCTTTTATTCAAATCTGGTTCCTTCCAGAGACTAGTTTAATGAAATGTTACACAATGAAATGGCAAGTAACATGTATAATTATATTTCTCTTAACATTCTTATTTCATTCATAACTATTTTAGTTATCTCTCCCCGTGCTCTCTGACATGTGTTGTAAAAGAACACCAAACACGAATGTGTTTATGTCTATGTGTTCAACACTTCCTCCTACAATCAAAACACTAACGTGTTAAAATTCAAACATACCAAGACCTCGTAACACACTCTAATTTCAACTCTAAACCCTGAGGTACTATTCTGAAAGTGGCTAACTCTGAAGTGTAGCGTCAGAGAGCCTAACTACATCATTCAACCTTTAACACATATTCACCATGATTTAGTCTTTTTACAGTCACACGAATAAAAAAAATTTTAACATTACTTTCACTTTTACCATATCACGGTATTTCTTAACATTTAAAATAACAGTTCACATTGTATATAAGAACATATTAACATGCCGTTAATTTTACACATTTGAAAACATACATTAGTAGTACATTGTTAACTTCTATTCTTTTCAAAGCAAGTGCCAATTCTTTCTACATTGAAATAATACATTTCAAAAAGTCTTTCAGACTAAAACTTCTTTCTTGCCAGAATGTTTTAAATAATATTTATACAATAACTTTTTACAATATTTAAGTCTTTACACAACGCTATTATGCATCAACTTTAGTTTTTACACGCGAGTAATTGAAAAACATAATACCAAAATCGGTAACAACTCATTTCTCGCCCTTTTGGCGATAAAGGTAGACCTCGCATGAGGTAAAACTTCTTGAAATCTGCCACTTGCAGTAAGAATGAAAGATTAACTTAAGTTTGCAAAGTAACATAAAATTTTACTTATCTTTGTGATATTCGGACATTCTTTTCTGGGCCCAGTCCTGAAAGGTAGTGCAGATTGTTGTTTGATTTATCCTCCTTCTTGTACGGGCTCGCCCTTCAGTGCCTTCCTCTAGATGGTTTCTTTTTTTCTCCAGTTCGGTCACCCTTGAATACCTTCTTTTTCGCTTCTGCTTGTGGTCTTGGTCGTTTGATGGCAGCTGGTCTTGGCGGAACCAAGATCATAATTGTATAATTTATGCATGCCATCTTACCAGATCTAACTTGTTGATCTATAATTTGGAAAAAACCCTTAATCCGGAAACGCCGAAGTCCCGACGAGTCCGGATTATGGACTCTGTACTGTATTTAAATAATATGCCATTAATATGTTATTGAACAATCTAAAATTCATTGAATTTGAAAGTAAGTTTTTCTAATACTTGCACATTAGCTGCAAAGTAAGATAATAATAATTTATTTACTAAAGAAATATTGATTATGTTATCTCCTAATATAAATTTAGTAGAATGTATCAAAATGAGGGAATGTAGGAAGTTTAATTCCAAATATTGTTTTTTGAAGGAACTTGAATGTAAATCATTAAAAAAAACTTTTTAAGGGTATCAGGTTCAATGTTCCGTCTTACCTTCTTCAGGAACATGCAAGGACCTGACTCAGAACAGAGAGCTTACTAAAGCTATGTTCACTAACTGTGGGAAGTAGACAGGATACACAAGAAGGGTATACAAAACCCTTTATTTTTCTCTATTTACAATAACTTCCGTACTTCGGAATACAAAGACCCACTTCTTGTATTCCTTGTACTTCTTCTAAACGTAAACATATAAAAATAAAACTAAACTCTAATTTAACTTTAAAATAATAAACGTGGAAGATTGGCCTTATATAAACAGGAAGCCGTATGTAGTACAGAGACTGCGAACACTACAATACGTTTAAAAATTATCAAGAGGATTAAAACCTCTGGCCTGGAAGGCAACCAGCAACTGAGTAAAACCTCTAAGGTAAGCGGCCTGCTTCGACTAACTGCTTCCTCTCTCTCGCTTGGCAAAAAGCCACAACTTAAATACTTGGCGTTCGCCAGACAAACTTTGCATAAATACATTAACGTTTATAATTCTGGCCGGAAGTAGAAAATAAGAAGTGATAGTAATGATTTAAAATAAAATAAACGTTAGTAAAACTTAAGATCCTTACAAGGGGAGTTGAATTTTAAATCATGAATAACAAAAATTTCAAACTTTGAAAAAGAAATTAAAAATTAAAAAACATACAAAATAGAAGTTATTTTTATTGAGTCAATTATGCAAGCATATTTTTATTGAGCAAGTATTTAGAAGTCTAAGAATTTTATTTTTTGTATTATATAAATATGAAAAATTGCTGTATGAAATGGTGACATTAAATTGTGTAATCAAATGATAAAAACATAATTAATCCACCTATGATTTGTTTCTTTTTAATAGTAAATGCAATAGTATTAATGTCCACACTCAAAACTGAGTGTATGAACAAACTACTGCAAGTAGTGACACATGAGCAAGGTTTTCATCAGAAGTGCCACATATCTTCACCATATAGATGCATTATATAGCCCGAAATGTTGACAGTCATTACCAACTAATTTTTCACCAATCTAAAATACAAAAGACAACAACCATTTTCAAAAATGGTGTCTTGCCAAGAATTACATAAAACAGAAACCAGTTAACAAAATTAAAAATCCAGAAATATCCAAAATTAAACATTTTTTGTGCTGTTATCCTCACATACACAATGATCTATTTTAGCGTAAAACAATATAGAGAATTAGATAATCTTAGGTTTTGCTTTAAAATAGTCAGTGGATTCCACAAATTTGGCATTGTGCACAAATTTCAATGTATAAAATTTGATTATTTTAGAACCTAAATTTTGCATTCTCTTTTTTTGCAGTAAAATGCGATATTTTTGAGGAATTGCAATGCTTTCTTTTTCATCTGCTGGCAAACTCTCCAGTTCTCATTATGATACCTTATGAGGAGGGAAAAAATGTATTCAAATGTAAAAAAAAAAAAAAAAAAAAAAAAAAATCACTAATCAAAGAAATTAGCTCTTGTCTGCTGCACGTAACCATATTATGATTGTGAGAAATTAGCTTCAAGTAATGAATTTGAAATTTTAAGTTTAGAATTATCTTATCCTCTTTAAGGTTGACTCTCAAATAAAAAAACTTATTAAGAATTTTAGTACTGTGTAAATGTATATTGAGCAGTAAGACATTTGATGTTTTTGAAATTTTAAATATTTAAATGAAAGTAGTTACACTCATTTGTCCCTTAAATGCATATCATCTTCAGAGCTTTCTTGTTAATAGAGCGGCAGTTGCCAAAGTGCCAAATGTGGTACCTTTTTTATATTATATCATGAATATGATAACATATATAATATGGTATATTTGCAATGATAATATATGTAATGTATATGTGCACAGTGCTAAAGTTGTGTATGAAGTTGAATTTATGCAGCTTTCTGATGCTTTTTTAATCAAAAATAGATCACTGCATTATATGGGGAGAACAACAGTGTCATTCTCCCCATTTATGCATTTATCTGTATTCACCTTAAAAAAACACCAAAGAATTGCCAAATTTGGTATTGTGCATATCAAATATTTTACACAATACAATATATTATTGTATTTGATATATAAAAAAACTTGCATTTTTCACAAAGCTTTATGTATCATGAGGACTGCTGCCATCTTGTTAGATTTTATGCCAGTGTTGTCACTACCCCCTTATGGAAAAGTATCCCATTTTTATTTAAATTATTTACTTCATTGCTGTATGTATTTTAAATGTATTAGGTGTAAATGTTTCGTTTAATCGTTTAAACTGAAGGAAAGGCATAGAAAGTATGTAGATTGAGATTTTTATTGTTCTGGTCAGCTAGTTTTTGTGCATCAAGACTTAAAGTTTAAGAATTTAGTGATTCCAGATACTTTTTTGGTCATATGTTAATTAAATATTGATACATTTGTGTTAAAAATAATACCTTCATATTTTTCATCAGAATTGTACAGCTACACAGAAGAGCCAGAATTCTTCTTGCAAAAAAAGGCATTTGAAGATCTCTTGGAAGAGTATGGTTAGTGAATGTATATGTACATTTTTGAAATTCATTTCTTTGTAATTTTTTTAAAAAATCCTCTGAGATAATTTAGCTTTATTGCAGATTTACATGGACGGTGGACTACCTTTAATGATTCTCGGAAAGAAAAAATCATTTTACGTCTTCTAGATTCAATTGAAGTTTCTCAGCGATCTACTCGAATGCAAGCAGCTAGAGCAATATTGTATTTAGTGCAAGGTGTTTTTGGAGAATGTATTACTCTTGATCAACAGTCTCAGTTGGCCAGGGTTAATGTTTTTCTTCTGTATAATTTCGGAGTATTTTATACATTTGTTCAACTGTTGAATATGGAGATAGAGTAAGTAATTATTTTCTTTATTTAACTATAGTGAATTTTGTATTTATTTTATTTATCAAACATATGAAAAGGAATTGGTCTAGGTGCATTTAGTATGTTGATTGAGATCAGTATTTGGAAGACTTCAACTTTGAGGGGAAAGCATCATAAACTGGTTTCCGGTTTCTGATCCATTCAGGTAAAACATTCAATGCAACAGATGACCAATGGTTTTGAATATCCCTCCTCGTATGCTTAGGCAGTTGAGAATATTTGCCTTTCAAGAATTGGGTTTGGGCCAGCAAAACTTCAGGCTTATTGCAAACTGAAGCTTGGTTAGAGTGATATCAGCTTTTCTAGAATGTATAAGAATCATAGTTGGCTTGTAGTTTGATTCATGAAAGAGCGTTTTTGCTGTTAATATCTGTCCTTGTGCACGTTTCCTGTTCTTTGATAAGGTGTTTTCATGTTTTTCGGAATGGCTTTTGCCTCCATGGACTGAACAAAACACCCTGCATCTGCATCTTCACCCATGAATTGAATTTTGGCTTTTCATTCTCAACAAGGCCCGTGAATGATTTCTTGAAGTAATGTTTGTTGAGCCATAGGTAAGACCTTAAAGATCTGCACAATTAATTGCAGGAGTGTGTGTAAAAATCAGTAAAAAATGTATAGAAATCTGGAAGTTTTAAAACTTATGATTAAGATTTTAATGTCTAAGTTTACTGTTTCTAATTTTTTGTTGATAATTAGGAAATGGGCCTAAAATTATATTGAAAATTTGTGTTTTTCCTCCTTTATTTCATGTCATTGAAGGAAAAGAGTTGTTTTATAATATTTGTAATTTAAAATTAAGTGTAGTATTGTTTAAAATACTAATGTATATCCTCTGTATTTTGCACAAATATTAACTTCTCTGCTGGAATGTAGATATATGAACTCTCCACTAAAACATTGGGTAAATTCTGATTTTCCACATCTCCATGAAAAGTCTCCATTGAGTATTGGGAAAGAACATTTGCTTAGCTGTCTTTATAACTGAGAGGTACAGTTCAATTCATAAATAATAATAAGAAGAAGCCTTTAATGAGAAGAAAAAATTCATGAGGGAAAAAATAATTATTTGGCCTATATTTATATTTTTACAGCCAGTGGGCTCTGGAAGCATTCAAATCCGTATGTACTTGTGTAACTAGGCTGTTGTCATGTGTTTACTTGAAAATGCCCCAAAACTTGGCAGAATGTTGAAACTGAAGATGCAGAAAAGCACACAACATTTTAATCAAGTTCCCATGAAAATACAGTGAAAAAGACCTTGGGGAAATCACTAAATTATTCACAGTATAAAAAATACTTGAATTTACTTTTTCTTCAAAAAAAATGTCAACTTAAAATGTAGAAATCAGGAATTGTTTTTAATATCGCTGCTCTTTTTAATTTCATCTATTGAAAAATATAGAGAAAAAAATTGTTACAATAAAATTATATAAATTTTAAGTTAACTTCCAGTTAATGTCTTTTCTGCTCTAGAAGAATATTTATGTACACAAATTTACAGCGAATATTCATACTATAAAAGAATGCTTGAAAAGTGTTTGGCCTATACATAGGTGGGTTTTAAAAAACTGATTTTAATTTCAAATAAAAAGCCTTAAAAATTAGCTTAACTGACACTTTTTGCCATTATCACAGATTACATGACCATCCAGAAACTGTGAATTTGACTCTTTCCTTGGTCTTAAATATATTGTAATTTACATCGTGCGACAAAATTTTAAAGGTATGGGTGTTGCGTAATTACTCCACCTTTAGGTAGCCACAATGCAAATCTGGCAACAAGTACTCAATGTAGCTGGCATCACTGTTTATGTTTAGGATTAATTTTGTTTTAAAGACTAAGATTATAATAAAATTCTAAGGAGAAAGTGCATTAGCAATCTAACCATTCTCAATATTGAAATGTATGGATGTGAATGTTTACAGATAAAAATCGCTGAATTTGTTAATATTGACTTAAGATTTTATTAATATGGAAAATATCATTAAAAGAAGAACATCTGTTAGAGCAATGTTCATGAAGCATTACAATTTGTTAACAACATCTTTAAATTAAACAAATTAAAAATATGAAAAGTTGAAATTAAATTGTATAGGTTTAATATTTTAAGAAAACGCATTCCCCCAATAACAAAAAAAAAAAAAAAAAAAAGTCTGAAAGTATTTAATATTAATACAGATTTATAGATTTGTCAGGTTTGCAAATTTAGAGCCTATTTTATAATTCTCTATAAATCCCTTTAATATTACTGATGGAGAAATCATGGCTACAGCAATTTTTAACTATTTTCATCATCAACAACATGGAAAGTGTGATGCTGTTAACTATGTCTCTTTTCTACTAAAGACCTGAAATGGTTCAGCCAAGTGAGGTCTCTACAGTTGAAACTCCTGATGATAATACCTGAATTCCGCCAGTTAAAATCCTTCCTAAAATATCCACACCAAAAACAATTGGTATTAGTTTTGTATTGTCACCAATGTCTGTAAGTGTTATTCCACAAGCTTTAAGCTCTGCAATTAAAAGATTGTCACGAATTCTGGGTAGTGTGGTGCAAATTTTGTGCTGGTCCAAAAATAAAATTCTTGGGGAAAATCTTTCATCTAAACTTTTTACACTCGTACCTTCCGTTTTCTAGGGCAGGAATATTTCCACAACCAAATAATCCTTGTGACAGCACTTCTTTAGCTGTAGAAAATTTCAGTTCCTTTATTAAATTCTTTTCTATGTATTATCGATGTGAGCCATCATCCAACAGAGCACATAATGTAACTTAGCTTCTTTTATGGCAAACATAAGTTAAAACTGTCTTTGGACAGATTTCCCATAAAGTGGAGTAAACAGTGCAGTGTAATCACTTTTTGTAGAATTTGCTAGAAAAGTAGATTCATTAGACCCTTTCCTTCAGTCTGGACAAAGCAGAGCATAATGTTGTAGTCCACATATTACGCACTTAACACAGGGTTGCTACGCTACCTGGAAAAACCAGAAAAAGTCGGGGAATTCCAAAATTGACCAAAAAATTCAGGGAATTTAAATATTTTAGTCAAAATCTGAAAAAGTGAGGCAGTTTCCTACTGCGATCCCCCCCCCCAAAAAAAGCAAGTTTTGTGCCAACTTTCGAAACGATAACTTTCTTGTAGAATTACGTGTCGCGTGAGCATCATTCTGTTAGCTGGCATAGAGTCAATTTTCACAGCTCCAATCAAATGGACTTTTAGAAAGGCAAAGCAAGTTTCCAGTAACCTCGAGAATCGAGAAACTCGAGTGTGCATGTGCAGTGCATGTTGAACTAAAGGGAATACCGTCCTATTCTCGTATAAAACGAAATCTGTTTAATTGTCGTATACGGTACACATGGGATTTGGTACATTATGATGAGCAGTAAATTTGTCATTTTGGTGTTGACGACCATTTTCAAAATCGTCCCATTGCCATAGCATATACTAGGATTTTACCAGAAAATCTTTTAATCCTTTTTTTTCCTTCTTTTTATTAAATGTATTGTCTTTTTGCAGTAAAATAAAAAAATAGTAATCAGTCATCTAGGCTAACGATTTAATATAACTATACTAGCAGAAGTACCCGATGCTAGTTAAGTTACATTGAGAGTAATACATCTAACAACAGAGAGAACGATACCGATGTAATCCTTCTCTAATAACAATGCAAAAAATACGATTCACAGTCATACAATTTTCAGTCTGTTGCAATATGGAACCCACATAAAAAATTTCAATAGAAATATAAGCTATTTCTCTCTCATTATACCAGCAACAATGGCACGTGTTTTAATGATTCTCAATCTTTCTAATCAAATGGTCATAAGAGCTCAAGTTCCTTCCAATATTTCACACCTATATTCAGTTTTATTCGATTAAATATGGCCAAAAAATTGATCATAATTGATCAGAAATCAATAATGCGAACAAACAGACATTCTTCTTTAGGATAGATTTCGTAAAACTTACAAATTTTTTATTAACAAACTCTACGATTTAAAAGTGAGCAGTAGCAACACTTTTCAAAGTACAGCATTTTTACCTCCTTTACGTGAGACTGTTGCCATTTAGAAAAATGAGCGCGAAAATTGCCGCTTTCAGAGTTTTTAATTAATATTTTGGATGATTAAAGTGATGCGAAGATGGGAACAGTCAAAATGGCTTCTCACAAATTTTCAGCTTGCGAGACTGTTGCCACTTGGAAGAAAAGGGTACATTGACCTTTTTCAAGATCCAGAAAAGAATTGTAGAATGTTTGGCGATGATAGTTTTAGAAGTGACTGAGTTATTAGAGAACAAACACACAGACCTTCTTCTTTATATATATATATATGTTACAATGAAACACCGAAATCTGGAGAATGTCGACTTTCACAGGTGAATGTCAACATTCACTTAGTCGCTTGGTGTAGGTCCGAAATACTTTCCAAATACTCTTTTATTTCTGACTTACACCAGTCAATGCCGGCATTCACCATGTACTAATGGTGAATGTTGAACATATAACAATATTATATTTTCTTCTCCGTAATTCAGTCGCGAATAAACGCACTTGAGACTTGAAATAAGAATATAAGAACCTAAAATACACAATACTTTCAAAATGAGAAAGGAAAATAATAGAAGTTAAAAACTTAGTTAATTATACAGTACGTTATAAATGAGAAAATAAAATAACAGTAATAAAAAACTTACTAAATTATGTGATTTAAATCTTATTTATTGCAACAACTTAAACTATTATGACACTTTATGACCTCTCTTTTCGACCTACACTAGAGCATATCTGTGATTGTCGACATACACTGGTGAGGGTCCGAATGTACAAGAATGTAATGCAAGACTCGATCTTTCACCGACGTATTTGGTGAATGTTGACATTCTCCGGTGAAAGTCGACATTCTCCAATTTCGGTCTTTCACGGTAACATATATAGATAGATAGATAGATAGATAAATTCT